ACACACACACACACACACACACACACACACACACACACACACACACACACACACACACACGCATAAGCGCACGTAAACGCACGCACACACACACGCAGCTAGATGCTACATGCAATAAAGATTTTATAATAACGTACACACTCACAGGAACACACGCGTGCACTCACGCGTGTACGTATGCACTCACGCGTTCACACACGAGCGCGCACGCGAGAGTATTCAGGGCAAACGCTATTTCAAAATCAAAAGCATCAAGCGTCTGACTATGTTCGAACGTTACCGCTCCCTCTCTCACTAACTATCGCTTTTGCGTGCAGATGCGAGGAAAAGAAACACGCCTGTGATCCAAATCCATGTCTACACGACGGTATATGCAAGCCCAGCCCCCATAGTTACCACGACTACATTTGCGAATGTCAACATGGCATAACAGGAAAGATGTGAGTGCGTACGTGAAATATCACGATTGCTTAGGAGAAGCAGTGATTATTTCGAATCACAATCGGTAATTAATGTAGGCGTATTATCGAGTTAAGCAGCTGTGGCTGTTAATAAAACGAATTGGTGGTAAATAGGAGGCAAGGGGCGTTTAGGCGTTGTAACCTCTCCATCTTAATTACCTAAACATAATAATTCCGAAACATACGCCCGCGATGGTGTCATAATTATTTTTCGTTACGCACATGATTTCTCACACGTAATAAGAGTCGATGGCTATAACAAGACACATGCGATGAAGCCCACTGTATAGTTTATGCGCGCTTGATATGATAATGCTTACATAAAAAAGTGTTAGTATTGTATGTTTAAGTACAGTTTAATTTATATAGTTCATATGTCTGGTGTTCATTTAACGTTTCTGTTCACGATCGATACCAATGTTTGTGATGCTTCAACCAAACCTGCGTGATATAAACAGAACGTTTTGCTTCTAGCGCAACACACAAGCCGTTATGCGCATAAATTGCGTTTTCTAGATTTCATGTAGTTTGATCTTGGACTGATATATTCTGCAGTATGCTTATATCTATACATGTTTTGTGCTGATGTTTATGCTTATTTATGATGCTCATGTTATATTATACATACATTTATGCTCACACTGTGCTCATATTTATGCCTATGTATTATCCTTATGTGTATGCTCAGTTATTATGCTCCTGTTGTATTATGCTCAAATGTATGCTTACATTATGCTTGCGTTTATGCGTATGTATCATGCTTATTGTGCCATATGCTTACATATAGATGCGAGATCAATCCATGCGCTGGAGAGCCGTGTCAAAACAACGGTGTGTGTAAACCAACAGAAGGTGCCTACGGACCCACGTACGAGTGTCTGTGCACTTACGGATATGACGGATACAAGTACGGCTGGTTATTGATCGATTAGACACTAGGGCACGGAGACTCTAGAGGTTCTCTCTAAGTATGACGTCAGAGCTATATCGCTACAAGTATGTGTAGGTGGTAACACCTACTCAGTAATAGTAATGCATGTTACTGTATCTCGCCCGTAGAAGATATAGATATAGAATCGCACGAGAGACCGCATTGCACTCACCTTCTCCCGTTATAATTTCTGTCGCCTGCGGTTGTTTATCTGTCGCCTTACCTTTATGCTGTGGAAACGCATTACTGTTGCTCCATTATCTACATCCCAAAACGGTCTAGATTTATTCCTGTAATAGAGTACAAAAAAGATAGGTTTCGTATTTTATGTAAAGCATTCTGACGCCGAATGTCCCCTGGACACAGAATTGGTCACTATTACGCGAATATTATTTGTGTAGCTCCTTCGACTTTGTAATGGAGACGAATTTACAGGCGATTATTGAATAGGCTTCAATTCAATGCTCTATAGGGTCGTATTAATCCTTTCAGGTGCGAGGATGATATTGACCCTTGTGAGCACAACCCGTGCGACAACGGAGGTGTGTGCCAAATCAACCGCCAGTACCGGCACAGTGGATATGAGCCGGAAACCACCTGTGTCTGCCCCTGCACCCATCTAGGAGACAGGTATATATATTATTTCTCTCTCTCTCTCTCTCTCTCTCTCTCTCTCTCTCTCTCTCTTTCCGACAGCTACTCAGTATACAGCTATACACATATATAGGTAAACTTCGGTCGCCTAACATCGGTGGCGCTACAGCCCCGCGCACAACGACACCCGGCAATGCCAATATACAATGTTTACTTATTATTTGCATGTCACCTGTGTGTGCTATTGCAGGGTCACCGTGTGGTACGCGGGGCTGTCGTGCGCAGACACGCTAATAATAAAAACGTGATAAAATACTTCGTATATGCATCGTGAGATCTTGATCACATCTATATGATTGTAAATGCGTGTGGATGTTATATGGATATGATCATACTATACACTCTATACACATCTTCACGATGCATATACATAATACACAGTGTATATACGCATAGATATTGTATAGTTATGTTTACACTATAAAATCACAAATAGGTATTGTGTGGATATGTTCATGGTATCCACGCAATATTGTCATGTAAATGCTGTGACGCTAAACGACTATATGATCTAATGGACTCGAGGGCTGAGTCGAGCATATATGTGCTGAGAATGTAAGGGCTGAGTGTGGGTGAATATGAGCTGCTAGCCGCGCGTGTAGGGTAACGTGGAATGCCTGAAGCTGTGTAAGGTGGCAGCACGCAAGAGCATGCAGGATAATGCTAATAGTGCGTGATGCATTACTGCTGGAGTTCGTCGCCGATTTCTCTCAAAGTTATTAAAAATAAAGTGCGATTATTATATTAATTGCTATATAGTATTAAAAGGCGCACTCAACTCGCCTGTGTACGTGGCATCCATCTTCGTAGATATAATTTCGAGAAAACATTTACAGAAGACCGTGCATTAGGGTAATCTATGGCGGGGTTATCTACGTCTTGCTATTGCAGCAATCTATTGACGTTTGTGACGACCACAATATACACGGTTTCTATTTTCAACCGTAGACCATAGCCAGCTGAAAGGGTAGCAGCTGGGAAATTAAGGTGAAGGGCATCAAGTGAAAGGCACGTTCAATATTAAACGTCTGCGACCCTTTATTGTTCACTCTCCAAATACGTTAGTTAAAAGTTTAGATCGATACATGTCGTAACTCGGGGCATTTTTCAAGTGAACGTTGAGACGTGCGGACCCACCTCGATCTGTGCGTTTAGTTCTGTGTGGTTACATAGCACAATATAGGTGAGACATGATCATAATACATTACGTTATTTGCTACGCACGACTTATTGACTCTGCGATAATAATATATAGCAAAACATGACTGATAGCATGCCAATAATTCCTTAAATTATCAGCAAGCAAGAACAATCTGTTGTTAGCCAATATCAATTTAAACTGGGCAAGTTCATTTGTTTTCTGTGCGGAACCTTGTGGTTGTTTGATCGGAAACGAAGCGTGGACGAAACTCCGTGTGTTCACTCGGTGTCGCTAACCACTACTTGTTGATTCCCTTGCGGCCGATAGCGACAGCGTGGGATGTCTCCCCCCAACCACGCACCCGTGTTTGTTAACGCGCTACCCATCGTGTGCTCGGCATGCTAGAGACATTCTACGAAGCGCGTTTAGCTTTAGTTACGGAAGGATCGTATCGCCGTCATCAGGCGTTGCCGCGCGGCGATATTCGACGATAATACATACAATAGTGTCGATGAGGCCAACGACTTCTAAAGCAGTACGCAGCGCTTTTGTGCGAAACGGATTTCCTACGGTAGCCTCCCGCGATAATGCATCAGGGCAGGAGATGCGAGAGCGGCATAATCGAATATTCATGCAATGGGGGCTTTGCCGCGCGTCGCCTCGGCCGACGACGCGCGTGGCCGCAGATTACGGTTACACTGATTGCCAGTGTTCTTCCTCTAACCTCTCTGCGCACAGCTCTTAGCACTTCGGGGCTACACAGCGTCCGTATATTGCGGCACTAGGCGCGCACACAATGTGCGTGTGCGACACACGAGATGATGTCGCAGGTTTCGGATGTCGCCGGCCATGCGTCACGCGCTGTGGTAATTACACCGCTGAACGCGAATTGTGAGCAGGCGTCCGGTCTCCTGTTCTTCAGTTTTATATGCGTCGATCAAATAGGGTCGGTGGCCGGGATTCATACGTCAGAATATGTACGAATAAGAGATGGCATATCGACATCGATACAGAAACCACTATAAAAGTATTTAAATTTTAAATTAAAAATTAAATTAACAAACTATTAAAGAAAAAAATTACGTGTGCCTGCGTGCACCGTAGGACCAACGACCCGTAGGACCAACGACCCGTAGGACCAGCGACCCGTAGGACCAACGACCCGTAGGACCAACGACCCGTAGGACCAGCGACCCGTAGGACCAACGACCCGTAGGACCAGCGACCCGTAGGACCAACGACCCGTAGGACCAACAACCCGTAGGACTAAAGAACTGTAATCACAAACATGGGTGAATAATGACAAATTTACATAATTTGTCTTTATTTACCCCTGATGATACTAATGACATTCTCCTACCCATGCCAGACACTTACCACCCATGCTGTGCGTCACGAAATGCACCACAGTATAGGAGTCGATTCAATTAACAAAACATGCTACACGCAAATTAAATATGAAAAACGCAGAACATTGCAAACGTTACGTCGTCAACGGCGACTTAATATCTCGCATAGAATGCGTAGATGCTTTATGTGGTAAGTCGGAAATCACACAGACTAAACATCAAAGCAAAATGGCGCTTCGTTAACTTTGTAGCAACCGCAATGAAGGCAGAATCATAACATATTAGCGATATTTTAGGGCACAATATGCGGCTGTCTATTTGTAGCCTGACGTAATTACTAATGTCTGGTGAATAATACACAGCGTCGCAGGGATCGAGTGGATCTCATCAGGACTACTATGCAATTACAATAATAATACATGCATTAAAACGCTAACGCGTCAATCGCGTAATGATGCAAAGTATATAGCGAGCAAACGGTGTGTGTTTTTTCATTAATTTTTTTGTATAGTTGCGAGATAGAGATCAAGCCGTGCGAACCGAATCCATGCAAAAACGGCGGCGTGTGCAGGAAAGCTGGAGGACACTGCAATCACACGACGTTTGCGTGTGACTGTCCCTACGGTCTGAAGGGCGACGTGTAAGTAGATGTGAAAACGATATATGCGCTTGTTTGCTGCGGTCGTGTGTTCTAATACAAACAGCTGCTCTCAAGTTGCTATTCTGTATTTCCCGTGTGAGTCGGTTGAATATATGGTAATTGCGTCAATATAGGCAACAATAAACCTTCCTTGTGGCATATAACAAGAGATATATGGGTGTAGCTCGTTTGCTACGGTCGTACGTTTATTCAAATGTCTGCTATCAAGTCCCTAATGTTATTACCGGATCCGTTACCATTCCACCACATGCATTATCTATAACGTATAGACTTGCTTAATCATCTTCTATCATCGTACATGCTAGATATAGTTTCAGAAGTTAAAAAATGAGTGCTAACTCATTATCTAATGTTATCTAATCTAGTGTTAACCTCTTATTATCTAACTCCTTATGATATGACGGAATGACACACGACTCATATACTATCTGATTTGTTTTCGCAACGCAGGTGCGAACTCGGTTATGGACACCCAAAGCACTAAAACCACGATGTTTGAAGCGGACGATGAAAGAGCAAATTCAAGATTAAAGGCATGACCACAAACGGAGAAGCAGTCCGTTAATGATTTTCTGCAACGCGGTGTCTGTAAATACCCCACGATGTTTGAAGCACGGAATGAATTAAAGGCCAAAGCTAAGATTAAAAGGATGACTGTGAATATACAAAATCGTATGCGCTTGCATAAAACATTTGTTGTCAAGCCACAGAATTCTATATGCATTGAAACTCCAACGCCATTTATATGAAATCAGAGAAGATTTTCTCTTGCTTTGTGCAGAAAATGTTGAATGAGACTAAAAAATATACGGTGTGCAATAGCAACCGCGTACACAATATTAGATGCTAAAATATACATAAAATCAGGAGTGGATAATAGAGTCTCTATTATCCACTCCTGATAAAATATTACTCTTATGTATCTTACTCTTGACAATGTGCTCAGTAAGGCTATGCCCGTTTTTGACACATAATATCGGTTTATATATTATATATGTATCATTTATCTTATATAGTTGTTTCCCGTAAATTTAGTTACTGTAATTAGTTTGTCATAGTTCGTGGCGCTAGACTACACGCCGTTGAACCGTTACTGTATGCGCTACATTTAAAAGATTATTTAAAAAAGTTCAATTTCCTAATAATAATTATATATAGGCCTACTATGCCATAATAATTTTTAAATATTTGTAACATTATATTTAGTGGGCAGTTAGAAATAAATAAATATAATCCGTTTAGCAACTTTTTGTATGTATATTATTGTGTGAATATTGTACAATAACACTTGTATGTGTGCTATGTATATGTCAATAACAATATATGAGTGTAACAATACCAGCGATAGCATAATGGACATAATGTTACATTGCATATACACGAAAACCCTGTGAAAAATATGCTGATGAAAAAGGATAACTTTCAAGCAATATGGTTCTTAAACTAAACACGTAAAGTCCGTTTAAACATAGGCATAAATTAATGAACATGTAAGAAATACTATTTATATAGAGTGCGGTATTTCCTAGCTGTCCGACTGCCTGTCTGTTTGTCTGTATGTCTGTCCGTTTTTCATGCATGTATTTGCACATGCGTGCGTGCATGCGTGCGTACGCATTTGAGAGAAAAAAGTAGGTAGCAGATTTAGCATAACCTGACCGCAACGTCTGTCATCGTGTGACATTACAAAGTTTTCGTATTGTGTTCCCATCTCTGTGGAACAGTAGCTACCTATCTGCTCTCAGTAGATATTGTGAGCGATTCGTGCGCTGGCTCACAGATTACATGGCTTTTTCCATAATGTCGTAGATGAAAAACCGCTCCAAAATCATTTAGCACGTAGACGATCCATTAAATATCGCACAAGAACGGAATTTGTTAAATCTACGCTACATTCAGGTTGGGCGGATGGCACCACACCTTACACAACGTAGAAAATTCGCCGCACGCGAACAGCAGTGACATTTTGCATAGATCCATCGTCTGCTGGTTGCCGTGGAAACAAGCGATGCGCGAGGTCGTTGGCTGCTAGGGATAATGACGCTGCGGACTAGGAGCCGATGCGGCGCATTCGATAAACGACTTGTTTTGAGAATGAGCGTGCATCGCCGTCGAGGTGTAACTCTTCTGCTAACATCTGGACGCTAGTATCTCGCATAAATTAACCCGATAAGATTGTCACATCGTCGCCAACATGTCCACTCACGTGTACTGAGATAGGACAACGCACGCCGAAAGGTGAGTGGAAATCGTGTGAGCTGTTTTGAAGGGAAACGTAGAAGGCTCGCTGATGTTACTAGACGCAATACGAACGAGCGTCTCTCCTTCGTATAGGTGTAGCGAAGCTGTGGGACGCGTGCAATTTCATCACGTTTTTTTACTTGTTGCATTGCTTCTAATTGAAGTCTGAAGTGAATGAGCATTGCTGACGTACCATTGGTGTAACTCTAATCATTCATTTTTATTTATTCAGTCCCGGCACCGCGAAAATGGGTATCGATTAAAATTTTCTTCGCTAACATATGGCCTCTTATCAAAAAATAATTGGTTTTGTAACGATACCGTCACAATCAGCTTGTTTGTTATGCACACACGCACACACACACACACACACACACACACACAC